TTTATGGACGTTTGACTTCCCGATAAATTCGGACTTTCGAAGTTCATTTCCATCCGGCTCCTGCCGAATTCGGAAAACTTAATCAAACGTCTTTCCCCATAAACGCAGGCCTTCAAAATTGACGAGACTTCTACGAAAATTCCTATTTCTTCCGAATACGTGAATTTGATTAAATTTACAGAATTCTAAAATTTGAATGAATGTCGGATATATATATCCTAATTAAGATAGTCAGGATATACTCATACACCACTTACATCCATTCTTTTCAACCGATGTATAAATGTTTTTTGACAAAAAGCAAAAAACACGTATTTCCTCATTTTTCGTGAGCAATCACACGGCATAAGTGGAACTTAAGTAGGAGTGCTTGTTTAACACGTTCCCTGCCAGACCGTTTTTTGAAGACTTTCCGTTCAGGCCGCGTGGGGCGTATACGCCCCACAGTCAAATAAGCGCATCAGCAATAGTATTAATATGCCCATAATTGACTGCATAATGAATTTTTAAAAAATTCTTCATTTTACAATGATAATACCAAATGGCTTGAACGGAAAGTTCAACGTGGGGCGCATACGCCCCACGCGGCAGGGAACGTGTTAATAGATATTACAAAAAAACCTGGAGGGTAGTTCACCCCCTTGAGATGCTGTAGCATTCATGGACAATATTGTTTTCACCGTCCTTATACAGAATACGTTTATGTCAAGTTTCGTCGAAATTCATCCTGTGCTTCTACGAAAATTAATATAAAAATCGAATTTTCGCCAAACTTTGAGGGATTATTTCATCCCTTAAATGTGATGTAGCATTACTGGACAATATTGTGTTTTCACCGTCCTTATACAGAATACGTTTATGTCAAGTTTCGTTGAAATCCCTCCTCTGTTTCTACGAAAGTTAATATAAAAATAGAATTTTCGCCAAACTTTGAGGGATTATTTCACCCCTTAAATGTGATGTAGCATTACCGGACAATATTGTGTTTTCACCGTCCTTATACAGAATACGTTTATGTCAAGTTTCGTCGAAATCCCTCCTCTGCGTCTACGAAAATTAATATAAAAATAGAATTTTCGCTAAACTTTGGGGGGTTGTTTCACCCCTTGATGTGGACCATTGCAGATAAAAAAACACGTGTCTCTTAGATTTTTGTGGTCTTTAACATATATGAAATTCAGTAAGATCGGCGGCGGGCACTTGGGAATGTTTCTTTGTTAGATGCAAACATTGTAATGTACATTAATTTCATTTCATATTTCATCGTGTATCTACGTATCTCGCTATGCAATTGCGTTGCAGAGCTTGAAGTTTCGTGCTTAAAGTGCAAGTCTCGTAGTTGGCGCAGTCACGGATATAACAAGAGCTACTTCAGAATGAGATTGCTCGCAGCTCGTGGCATTCTCGGCGAGCCAAAACTTCATTGTCACTGCCGATTTGTAAAAGAGCTATTGAGGCTCACTTAAGTCTTAAGACCCGAGATTACAATAGAAAACGCGAAGCTTTTCATTGCAAGCGTTTCCTGCTATATCAATCTGTTTTTACTCCGTAAATAGCATTTCCCTTACCGCAATAACCGAAATTCTAATTGGACATCTTAAGGTGAAGTGAAACCCCTTCAAATCAGTCGATTCGAATACAACACTTTTTTTTTTAAGGGTATTGGACCAAAATGTCCGAAACATTGACACATGACTCGTGATCATCTAAGAGTTGTCATGACACATTCAAAATTTGGATTTTTGGAAATAATTTTTTAACTTAGCCCAGGCCAGAACCAAAATGGCGTCGAGCTGTCATATTTCGATCAATATACTATTATCGAAGGCACCGATATGAGAAACGAAACGGTCAGGACAATTTTTCGACAATTTAGAACACTCTGGTAATCGATAAACTCGCATTTGAACGGGATAAAGGCAAAAAAAGTGTTTTGTGCGCTTCTATACCAATACGATGGAAATACGAGGAACTTGATCGACGTCAATAAAGAAGATTTTTTGGAATACCTACGTTGACTAGTAAGACTAGACGTAATGACTTAGGACCTTAAAAAAGTTAACTGAATATGTAGCCTCCGGATATTTCCTATTATTAATAAGCGTAAAAAAATGAATGTGGAATAATCTTAACTATTATTGAATATTTTAACAGTATATTAATACAATATATGCATGTATACATTTATATATAAACATATCTCAACACGGGACGTCACAGAACCTCGTTCAGAGTTTTTACATTCGTATTATTAATTAATAAAATAATGCAAGAAGCTGCGTAAATTCTCCTCGGATGTTATTTTAAAATATGATAACATGACGACTAAATAGTTATGTTATGGTAGTATGTATTTATAAAGTAGTATGTAAAGTATTATGGTAAAGTAGTAAGAAAAGTAGCATGTTAAATTTGGATGTGACCTTATCAATTGGACAAGTAAATTTCATATTTGCAACAACGTTGAATGCCCAATCTTCAGACGTGATCACGGGTACAATAACGATATTCTTGAACTTTTATCCGGCTTACTGCTCGTGACATTTTCAGCGAGCGAAAATTTGAACGTGAGAGCTGATTTGTAAAATACCTATTGAAGGCTAGTCCAAAAGAAAGGAAACCTCCTTCACAATCCACTTAGAATAGAAAAGCGAGAAGCTATTCATTCCAGCTCGGGCTGCATTCAAAGGACCTTTTTCACGTAGATGGTTGGCGTTAGGAAAAAAAGGAGGGAGAAAAACGTCCTGAGGAAGACGAAGGACGTAGGTGAACCCCGAAGATGAAAGCCGATTCCTGATGAAAGAGCTCTTCCACCTCGACAAATTGCCTCCAGAGAGAGAGAGAGAGAGAGAGAGAGAGAGAGAGAGATCCATTTTCGAAACCTGGTCACGCAATGAAAGCTTTTTCGAAGTGTAGAATTAAGCCACTTTGCGCTTTTCATGGGACCAAATTACAGGGTAGTGCATGGGTACGGTAATTACATGTTGGAAGGTTTGAAGTCTTGAGTACGCCACCCCGGAGTATTTATTCTGCCATGCAGAATGCAAACCGCGTTTTTGCAAATTGGTATTATTTCCCGTAAACGCGGTTTCTCGATGCCCCAATGGACGGTCTCTGAAAATCTTTGATTTTACATTATTCCAAACAATTTTTGCATAGTACATGTTTTTATTACCTTGAGTCTGATGTTGGAAGATTTGCACCAAGACCATGGAAAATTATTTCGAGACTTTACCAATGTACTCGTGAATAATTTCGGACCAGTTTATAAAAGTACTGTTTAAAAGACTTATAATGGTCAGTGATTGATTGAGTTTCGTTTGAGTGGGAATTGCTCTATCATAAGTGATGGGACAGTATGCTGAATAAAAACTGAAGATGCAATATTTAAATAAAAATTAAATAATGTCATTTTCTAACTTCTGTTCACAGGCGTAGGTACTTATTAGCTTTTCTTTTTATATTTAAAAGCATATTAACCGTACTTAGCATTATCCTCTCAAAAGAACTATCTCCACGTCACGGCGGATTTTCTTCAGATAATCTGAAGTTCAATTATTTATAAAATTGAATTATTCCGAGGCATGGGAATTACTCTCGCGTCTCGTGGCCAGATTCTCGCTACATTTCTAGATCGTTTCTGACATGCTAATGACAACTCCCACAATTTTAAATCATTTGCATACATCATGCGTGGTAACAACTTTGAGTTATTACAGTAATAAAAAATATATACTTACAAAATAGTCCTGCCGAGGCTACGAGGATTTCTGACATGCTAATGACAACTCCCACAATTTTAAATCATTTGCATACATCATGCGTGGTAACAACTTTGAGTTATTACATTAATAAAAATGATATACTTGCAAAATAGTCCTGCCAAGGCCACGAGGATTGCGTGGAATAATTTTGTACATACCCGGGACGCTGCGTCTTTTTTGCATTTCTTCTTTAAAAACAGGGCCCTATTTTTAAACTCATGCAATATTCAACGGTTTAGTTCAACTCGCATTCTCAGTAGTGCATTCCATACCAGAGAGGAATTGAGCTAATCTCGCAAGATCGTACTTTCAGTCATAGCAACTTCCTGCATCTTGTCCTGATGGAACTTTAATGCGATGATATCGCGAGCGCTTCCACGGATGAATTTACATAATTACGACTTACTCGAGATTGTGCTCCTCTAAACTTCACTTAACAATAAGTTTTAATGGATTAATTTCAGTTAAGCTGTGCTCTAAACTGCAACGTCTAAACGAATGCATTCTACGATCGTAACATCCGGCGTAATCTTTCAATCCTTCGAGATAACGCGATTTCCTCGCGATTCAATTAGACGTTTAATTATTAGGTTGAGAAATAAGTTCCCGCAGTTATTAACGTAACGTAACGTAATTAAAACGGTGGGAACTTAATCCTAAATCTAATATATTCATGATTTATAATTTTTTTTTTTTATTAAAGGAAATTTTTCTTAAGAAAAGAAGCTTAAGCTGATATGAAAGAAATAGGTAGGCTAACTCTTTCTTATCATCTTAAATGCTATATCTCAAAAGATACGCTATAATGCACAGAAAACAAAGGAATTTCAACTCAGCATTCCGTGATAAATTTTCACTTACAATGTTATTTATTTATCCTATTTATGAAATCGATTACAAATTGGTACTATCACGTTGGGTTTAATTAATTAATTAATTAAAACCGAGGGATGCGAAATACACCTTGAAGGAATTTATTCAATATGCTTTGAAAAACCTGTCTAATTCATGATGATTTTTATGTTTATTTATTGGTGTAACGCTTACGTTTATGCAACTATATTTCCGTAAAATACGATACGTTTTGTATGTCACTATCTTTTTCACTTAATTAAAGAAAGGGATGAATAATGGAAACGAAGCTTGTGAAACTCTTAATTTCAAATCACTTCATAAAAAAAATGAGTAGCAAGGTCATGCAATGTATGTCATGTGCGAATTTCCTTTTTGTTGCAGCAAGACTGTCCAAACGGCAGACTAACGCCGGCAAAGTTTGTCGACATGTACAAAATGTTTTTTCCCTCTGGCAATGCGGAGGAATTCTGCGACCACGTATTCCGCACATTCGACATGGACAAGAATGGATACATCGACTTTAAGGTAAGAGTTCTTTTACCGACATTTCGAGAGGAATGGCGGATCTTCAGACATTTTGACAGTGGACTCAACGGGCGGATATAGTGCACGGTTTTGTCGAGATAATAAACGATACATCTTCCATCACGACATGGAGCTCGATAAAGAGCTGCGACATACCTCGACAGATATCGTTTCACGGTAAAATGTTCGATTGCTCGGAAGATGAGAATTGAACTGGTGCAAAAATATCTCGACAGCCCTGTTTGACAATAAACTTAGTACAAAATAATTGCACAAATGTATTTCACTATAGCATCGTTGGGGTTTTTTTTCTATACGATTGCAACAACCCTCTTTAAAAAACGAAGGATTAGTAAATTACGTTACAAATATCACTGCATTGTTCTCCTATATTATAAAGGTATGTACGAGAAGGGAACCTTACATCTTATATTGAAGACAAATCGAAGGAAATTGATGTAACGTTAATTATTGGAAAATGTTAAATTATGAACATAGGTTCACATTGATACCTCACTTTTAAAATTAAAAGACGTCTTTTGTCTGTAGTCTTTAAGTGGTTAAAAGACTTCTTTTAACGCTAAAAGTGAGATATGAGGATAAACCATTATAAAGTTATTCATAATGGATAATGAATTGCGATCGTATAATATATTATTTCTAAGAATAACCTGGGATTAATTTAACACTTCTACAAAGGTTATTAATCATCACTTGAGCAGGTCTAGGGTAATAAAATTAACAATGTTACCAAGTTCCGGTACTCAGACTGCATTATAATGGCGTATGTCGCTCTTTGATCTGCCATGTCAAAACCGCGTGTAATTACGCTTTGTACGTAAGTGAAGGCATAATTGCAATTATTGGTCGGGTCTGAGACGTTATAAAGATAAAGTATGTTAGCATTTTCCTGTCGGGAAAATTCTTGAACCGAAAAGCCACGTCCGAAACAACTCTAATAGTCGTAAAGGAGTAATAACTGAAAATTATGAAATTTTAATGTTCAATGAGCATTCTAGTGGTCTACTTTGTCCTTTGACCTGTTATATTTGTTCCCAAAAGTGATTTCCCCTCATGCATCGATAAAGACACAATTGCCGTGATTGCACGGAGAATTCGCTCGAGCCTGCTTTAGTTGACGCGTTATTAATATATTATAATTACTGAAAGCTTGTGCAGAATAAAATTCTAGCAACACGGGGATAACAGTGATGGGTTGAAGGAATGCGTGAAAGGAAAGTTAACGTTAAAAAAAGGTACGGAATTTAAATAATGAAATTGTGCAAGGCATAGATGTTCGAAAAAATTGTGAATTTTTGGTTTAGGAGGATTTTACCTTTTTTTCTAAAAGGTAGCAAAAACGGGAAAATTTCTATAGGAGTTTTCTTATAAATTTGTTACTAAAATTTCAATATTTAAATTAGGATCACTCTATATATTTACTTCAATGTTGCACACCCTACGATACACGATATATATTTTTTTTATTAATGGACAATTAGGTCTTATAATGATTCTAAAGTACTAATAGTTTCCTCATGGCTGATCAAAGAGCGGCATGCTCCACTGCAATGCAGTGGAAACGAATTTAATTAACCTTGTGACATTACACGCAGGCAGTATATTGCTTAACATTCTTAATCTGAATGACATATCGTTTAATAACTTTCCTTAATTTCATTCGTACATCATACGATATTTTGTCATTACTAAATATTAATAATGCAAAATGTTTGAGACGTTCATTGTTCATTATTTGAGATAGGGCGTAACACGAATTACGTATTCACTTATTATTTATATTAGAGGTATTCAGCGTTTAATTGCAATTATTGCAGTTTTTAAAATGTACAATCTCTGACATATAGAGAAGTTCCACACTCGCAGTCCGGCTGACCATGACGCGACTAAAACTACTGTATCGACTACTGAGTATTGAAAATTCCCATTGACTAGTAATAAAAAATGTAACAAATTTGTGGTGTGAATTTCTCTCGTGAAACTTGGTTTTACAACTACTAAGAAGCTTGTTTGAAAATAATTTAAACTCTAAATTAACACATGGATATTACACCGTGTTTCGCCGTTTGCTTTGAAAAAGTATTTTTAATAAAAAAAAAAAGTATATCTATCAGAAATATGGGCTGGATTTCGATATCTATTAACGGAAAACAATGCAAAGAGAAATGTTAACGTTGTGCAGGAAATAATAATGAATTTTCGGTATTCGAATTACAGATAGGGAAGCACTTCATTCTTTGATCAGTCGCACTGAAACTACTAGTAGTTTCCCCGCATACGCGAGTACTTACGTAATTGCCGCGATATCTATTAACGGAAAATGATACAAAGAGAAATGTTAACGTTGTGCAGGAATTAGTAATGAATTTTCGGTATTCGAATTACAGATAGGGAAGCACTTCATTCTTTGATCAGTCGCACTAAAACTACTAGTAGTTTCCCCGCATTCGCGAGTACTCGCATAATTGCTGCGATATCTATTAACGAAAAACAATGCAAAGAGAAATGTTAACGTTGTGCAGCAAAAGGTGACGAATTTTCGGTATTCGAATTACACACAGCGGTACAGATGGTACTTTATTCTTTGATCAGCCGCACTGAAACTACTCGTAGTTTCCCCGCATACGCGAGTACTCGCATAATTTCCGCGATATCTATTAACGGAAAACAATGCAAAGAGAGATGTTAACGTTGCGCTGCATAGGGCGACGAATTTTCGGATTACAGACAGTGGTACAGATAGTATTTCGTTCTTTGATCAGTCGCACTGAAACTACTCGTAGTTTCCCCGCATACGCGAGTACTCACATAATTTCCACGATATCTATTAACGAAAAACAATGCAAAGAGAGATGTTCACATTGCGCTGCATCGGGCGATGAATTTTCGGTATTCGGATTACAGACACTGGTACCCATGGTATTTCGTTCTTTGATCAGTCGCACTGAAACTACTCGTAGTTTCCCCTCATATGCGATGTGACGTGGTATATTTTGCCACCCCATGGCGGCCCCAAATTTCTGCCGACATGTTTTTTTTTGCAGTCTTTGGTTGCAGGGTCCGAGGTCCGACGGTCACCGACCCGCGGGGGAGAGGGAGAGAAGGCTTATTCAATAATCCATTAAAATTTTATTACAGCCTAATTTAGCGATCCGCGGGAACTCTTCCCAATTTCCTCTAAGGAATCATTCATTTGCTGTTTTCTTTTTGAGTTCCCGGGCGTGCTCTCGAGCACTAGCCGATATTCGGAAGGAATATTCGGCGAGGTGATCGAGGGCTCGCGAAATCTTTTGTATCGCGTCGCGCGGCTCCGGTCGCTAGGCCGGAGTGTCAACACCGGCGACCTCTCGGAGGTCGCGCTCGCGCGCGCGCTACCGCTCGTCGCCCCGGCTGGGAAGAAAGAAGCCGTCGAGGAAGCCTCGGCGGTCAGGAGCTCCAGGACCGAGCTCATCAGCCGCGGTGCCACGGCCCGTTCGTCGGTCCACCCGGAGGGCAAGTCGGCCCTGCTACACCCCCCTGGTGGCCTTGCCTGCGGGGGCGGGCCGCAGACGGGCCCTGGAGGCTCGGGTGCGGCCGCCCGCAGGGGCAGCAGGACTACCCGGCCAGGAGCCGGACCAGGAGGCNAGTTTGTCGAGATTTGTTCGAGAGTGTTGGAATTTTAAGTTGTTGAGATTTTCGAGAGTTTGCCGTCGAGTATTTTTGGCCTCCGGGGAGGCCTGGCGCCCAACTTTGTGTCTCGTTCCCGAAACCGGGAAATAATTTTGAGTGGCTCGAACGGATCCGCCTAGACGATCGGGCGAAGGTGACGAGCAATCGTCCGGGCGCTGCGGGCCCGGAATTCCCCCCCCCCCCGAACCAAGTGTCCGTCGTCGACACCGTTCGGCGTATCCTTGCCATCCGTCACAGCGAATACTCGCTTAATTGTCACGATATCTATTAACGGAAAACAATGCAAAGGGAAATGTTAACGTTACGCTGCAAAAGGTGACGAATTTTCGGTATTCGGATTGCAATCACTGGTACCGATGGTATTTCGTTCTTTGATCAGTCGCACCGAAACTACTCGTAGTTTCCCCGCATACGCGGGTACTCGCGTAATTGCCGCGACTGCCGTCGAAGTTCGTTAACAATTAATGGTAACTAGGTCAGACGGGAAAAGTTAAATTGCGGTGGAAGTTAAACCGGAGAAAGTTTCGGCTTGAGTTGACGAACCGCCCTTGTAGTCGTCCCTTATAGCCGAAGGTGCGAACGTTTTCGCCATCGATTCGCCCGATCGGCCCTAATTTGGCGTTTAAAGGAATCGATGATAGCCTTTTGTCCCAATTCCCTTAATCGAAGTTGAATGGCTACCAGATTACGTGCCGAATAGCCGAATCGATCTGTGGGTAGAACTAGAAGTCGAGTTCGGAAGATATTTCGGATATCTGATTGTAGGATCAAATTGACTTGAATATATCTGAAAAAAAAATTAGAATAACTGCGAAAACCATTTCTATTTATGTATTATACTATCTCGGTCCTGGGCTACAAGGAATTCTTAAATACGGAAATATTAATTCATACGTGTTTAACAAGCCCGAACTTGGCGTTAAGAACTCGATAGCATTTAATATAGAAATATTTTTTAATTCATTCCCTAGTAGGATAGAATAATATCTAAATATTTCTTTGTAATGTTTGCTAAACATTTTAAGCGACAGATTTTTTAAGATTTCTTGTAGATTTCATTCGAAAATATTTGAAATGTTTGTTGAAAATCTCAATGACATATTTAGTTTCAATAATTTATAAACATATAGAGAAATTATATATTTTACTTTACGACTATTATCGGACACTTTAGTAGGTATAAAAAAAACACGAGAAATTTTTCTAATATTTTCGTTTCGCTA